TTATCTTCCCGTACGATCACGTTTTCCATTTAATATCCGTCTGAATAGTGGAACTAATTGTAGGAACTATTTCCATCTTTACTATCTAAATTATTGCGTTTGGATTTTTATCCAAACATTACAATAATGGTGACAAGTAATAAATTGTTTGAAAGAAATGATGTTCTATATTATATTTCAACAATATTAAAGAACTTTTTTCTTTCATTGAAACAACATCTAATTTGACCAAAATAAAATATTATTTAATTCAAAAATAAATTTTATTTCTTTAAATAATAATATTTTTCAATTAAATAATATGATATACTCTAATAAAACAACAAAATTTTTAACACAGTAAAATGATATTTAATATAAAATTATATTGTTTAAGTTAAACAAATACAATAAAATTACTAAATCTAAAGAAACCTTTTTCTCTGTGTAGTCAGAAATGAAGGAAACTTCTGTCTATATATGCATATATATGATTTTACTGCATTTTTTTGGTTAATTATCCAGATCGATTAAAGAGTTGTCGCGTCGCGATGAAATTAAACTGGAACTACGGGAAATTTTGCACATTCAAGCAAACAGCGATAGAAACAATTGGTATTTGAGATTCAGATTGTTAGGCGAGCATCCTGCAGGCAATATAGAGATAATACAACTCCGAGCGATTAAAATTCGAAACTAAATCCATAACAAGGTGATTGCAGATGTTATATACAAACGTATATAACAAACCGCAATTAAAGCACCATATCTATATTAAATTGCGAATACGTGTGTATGTTTAAGTTATATTCTAAAATTGTTTTTTATGATGTAATTATAAATTTCTAACTTAAATATGCTTTTATTTGCAACAATATTTACATGAAAATGAAACTAAAGATATTATGATCAAGAAAATGTCATAATTATAACATATGAAAATAAATTGGAATTTAAAGTTTTTATATACATAAAATAAAAGGATAAAATAGGAATAAAGTTTAGGTAAAAGTTCTGTAGATAAATTTTGATATGTCTATCTGTATTTTTAAATAATTATATATTCTTTTTTTTACATTACTATTTTTATGAGACGATGATGAGATTTTAACATTGATAATATAACCGAGTGAAATTCAGTAAGATTCAATTATTTTCAATGGACTTAATGCTGATAGTAATTTTTGTAATGCATTTGGTCCTTTGATCTTTTTGAACGCAGAAAAGTCAAAGTTCTGATGCGAACTATTGCCGTGAAAAAGATAAATTCTCAAGGAAAAAGGTAAAAATCTCAAAATGATAAATTGGGCTGTTCTGGGCACGTATATGATTTAAACGAGGACATCTTCTCGATTTCCTCACGCATTATAGGAATGTTACATATGCCGATAATAATTTTAATCTGCGAATCTCGTGTTCAACGTAGTTTCGTATGCTTTAAATATAAAACAATTTCATTTAAATATGTTAAAAATAATATTATATACAACGTTAACAATAAAGATTCACTGAATGTTTTGTGTATTTTATGACTTACAATTGATTTTTTATAAAATGACTTTACTAAACTTTACTAAAGTAAAACGATCATTTTTTATTTGTGGAGTTATCGATTTTAACCTACATTACTTTATAAGTTGTAAACTTTCAACATCAATTTACGACTTTTTATTATTGGATAAAAATTGTTTTACTAGAATTGATTATTAATTATTATTATCATTTATATTATTATTATAATTATTAAACATATTATAACAGAATGTATATTTGATTGAAAATACTAGATACATACTAGATTCGTAATAACCGCAACTCTCATTTTATTATTTTTTTAGTTAAGGATGAAAGATTGAATTCACGAACGCCGAGCCAAAGAGGAAATCAAAACGTGCTGTTACGGAAAACCAGTGGGGTAAGTAGCTCACCTCCGTTTAAATAATACTCCAAATTGAACTTTATAATTAAATTACAAAATTAAATTAAATAGACATCCTCCACACACAAATAAATTTTTAATTAATCCGACTTTGTCCCGACAGAGTCTCATAGAATTAAGGAAAAATTTTATATATAATTATATATAATTTTTTATATATAATTTTTAATATAATTTTTATATATAATTTTATACTAGCCAGGTTTTGCCGCGGATATCGCAACATCACATTAGTGCAAAAAGATGATATTACATGTCAGAAAAGATATCGACATATATTAGCCTCGACATAGCATCATTCAAACTGCGAACTTTGATATGTCCTGCCGATGCTTTCTTTTGGTGGCTCTCTCACGATGAGATGAAGCGAGCGCTTTAGCATTTTCCGAACAATGATACTTGTAGGTTTTTTATGAGTTTCTTGATCCGTCAGTATGAATATAATGAACTAGTTTGACAAAGACAAATTGATTCACAAAAACAAAACGATTCGCCAGATGTAAACAAAGCTACGTCGAGCGAAGCGCAATGATGCATCACCGGTTAACTGTCGATACCAAAGACAAATATTTTGTATAGAATATTTTCCGGCAAGAGAGTTTTTACAAAAATATATTAGGCTTAGAAAATATAATTATATAATTTCAATGTAATTTTAATTTACTTATAATTATATTCATCATATTCTGATTTCAGAAAACACTACACAGAGAAAAAAAATGTTCTTAGATTTAATAAATTTATGAAAATTCAAAGAAATTTATCCATTAGAATAGTCCAACTGAATTTTTGTTTAATCTAAAGGATACAATTGTTTATTTTTTTAAACAATAATAATAATTTTTACATAAAAGAAAATATTTTTTTTTAAAAACTGATCCTGCTTTTAACTTAAACAATTTTATTATATTATTCAAACAATTTCATTATTTTAATAAAATGTTGAAATTTTTTAAAAAGACATGTTTTAGTCATTTTAATAATTGTTTTATAATATATAAAATAATATTTAATTTATTTTCATCTTGGAGGAATCTTCCCCTTCATTTCGAAGAATTCTATTTGAGTGAAGTTTCACATTTCGCTTTCAAAAAACTATTCATTAAAAATGATTGAAATGATTTCATAATACTATGTCTTTATTCTATTCTGTATGGTTTTTATTTTCAAGAAATAAAACTCTGCGTCCATCTAGTGGCGGTGTCATATATTGCTTACGGGTTAATGTTTTATTTCATTATTGATTAGTATAATCAAAAAACATATTATTTAAAAAAAAATTGTTCTTCGAAAAATTGTTATTCGAAAAAAATTGTTTCAAACAATCATATTTTTTATAAAATAATATAATGTTAATGTTAATGTTAATGTTAAAATGAATGTTAAATATTAAATTAATACATGAACAATAATTAATATAAACGAACGTTTGATTCGACCATACGATTTGGTCATCTTTAATATTAAAATTTAAGATTGTAAAAAAACGATAATTTCGTGGAAAATCTGTTGATTCGCCACAAAATATAATTCCAAAGCAGTATAACGCATAAAATACATAAAATCGCAAATAACGAAAATTTGAACGACTTAAAGCTTTGAATCCTTGTCGATTGTGATTTCGTTTCGTATAGATTTTAAACGCAGTATTTATATAAAGTATTTATAAAAAAAAACTTTGATCAACAGAAGAGATAGTCCACCAATTAAATAATCCCATCTTGCAGAGAAAGCTTCAATATTCGTATCTGGCATGAAGGAATTAAGGCATTGAAATCACAAAAGAAATGATAATAAATAAAAATAAAAGAGAAAAATAAGAAATCTATGATTTACAATACTAATAAGAATAGATCGGAATAATTAGATGTCTTTTTTTTAA